AAAAAAAGTTCATGGGAAAATTCCATTGTCTTTCCATTCCGTTCTTGCACAAACTTTTTTTCCAGCGCCCCCTTGCTAGGTCTTCATCATCTAGTAAGGGCCAGGGAGCAGGTGAAGGACTGTGGCTTCAGACGCCTTGTGGAAATGAGTTTCCGCTTTGCTTCTCAGAAAGCTTCAGTCTCATTCAGGGTCACAAGCTGGAGTCCTGTTCACCAGCTGAATGGAACCTTACCTTGTCAAGGAAAGAAACGCCAATGTCCTACCGTCACACTCCCTCTGAGATGCCTGGGCTCCAGCCCAGACCAGTGAATAATAACCTCTGGAGTCTGGGCACTTGTACTTTTAAAAAGCACTTAGGTGATGCTAATGAATGGTTGGGTTGAGTCCAAGCGCTGCTCCTTCCCAGCTAGTCATCCACATCACCCCGAGCGCACGTTCATGCCTCTCACCTTGGCATTCAGCTGGGAAAACCTTCTGGCTTCCATCGCCTGCAGGCTGAAGGCCAAAGTCTTCGCATGGCACTCGGAACCTTTCGCAACTTGGATCCTGTCTCTTTCTATCATCAATACGAATAGTAAAGATCACTGCATGTTTCATCTGAGCCCGGCACTTTACTGAGGGCAGTCTGTGCGGTTTCATTCGATCCTCACCCAACCTGTTTCCTCATCTGTAAAACTGGGGGTATGCCCAGAAAAGCATGTCTGACACAGTCACCAGTGAGCTTTAAGATGCAGCCATGATCCCCACCACTTCGGTGAGAAGGTGAAGTTCAGGGAAGTTAAGCAACTTGCCCAAGGCCATGGCCCTAAGTGGCCAGGCTGGGACTGAACGCAGAAGAGTCTGGGCTAGCTTGCTTCTCACTGTGTTACTGAAGGGCTGGGCTCAACTTAGAAGCAATTTCTGGAGTTCCTCTTGGTGATGTCTCCAGGTCTTTGCACTTGTAGGAGGTCTCCTTCCCCTCTTTTCAGCAAGGCTTCTTCCCAACACCTTCCTCCCCCGTGGCCACCTTAGGCGGAGGCAGGGGCTCTCTCTTCTGCAGTCGGCCCTCTCCCCATTCTTAATGGACAGACCAGCATTTAGACCATAGGTCCCCAAACTTATTTGACCCACCATCCTTTATCGGGGGAAAAAAATTACTGGGCACTCCCCTGAAAAACATTTGTGTTGGAGCCCATAATCCCAGGATAAAGTGTAGGTATGTGTCTTTGTAGTTCTGTCTTTGTAGTCTTCCTGGGTTGTTCCAACACTCGGGCGAATGTGTGTGTGTGTTATCTCCCATATGGGGAAACACTGAGGCAGATGGTACACCTGCCACTGTTCCACAATGCCCTAGTCACCTGGGGCTCGGCTCTGCAAGAAGCAGACCTGGCAAGAAGCAGACCTCTGCATTTGCTGAATGTGTGGTGAGCAGAAGACACCAGACAGAGCCAAGCCACGGGAAGAACACTGCATGCTAGGAGGAATCCCCGCCTGTTCTCATCTGTCAGGGTGGACTCCAGACAGCGCGTTACACACCCACTTATCTTTGGCTAGAGCCTCTGTGTCATTTGCCAGAACATCCCATCCCTTGGTCCTGGCTCTCACTTTGCTCTCCTGCTCCCTCCAAAGTCTTCCAGCTGGGAATTCATCCACTCCACACCCCATCCCTGTACCCACCTCTACCTCCAGCACCTCTACACAAGACCAGAAGAATCCTCACCAGTTCATTTATTCGACAAATATTTACTGAATATGCACTATAAACTGGGCACTGTGCTTGGCACGGGGTACAGCATGGCAAGCCAGGTATGGTCCCTGCCCTCATGGAGCTTACACTCTAGCGGGGAGAGACAGCCAACCAACCAGTTAACATGCAGATGGATACAAATTCCCCAAGTAGGGAAAGGAGAGGCCTTTCCGATGAACATGGAGTCTATGTACTGTGGTGAGGAGGTGACAGGCTAAGGCCTGCGAATATGGAGCACTCGGCCGGGCAATAGGTCAAAGCAAAGCCTTCTGGGCAGAGGGAACAGCCTATGCAGTCCTGGAGGTTGGAATGCAGAGGAAATGCTGGAATGTGAGGATGAGGGACTGGCTGAAACAAGGTTAGGACTGGCAAGAGAGGAGGCGGCTGGGAATCCAAATCCAGAAAGGCTTGGATTTTAACGTTAAGACGGTAGGGACTCCTGACGGGTTTTAAACCGGAGCGGACCGGCATGGTTTGCTTGTTCAAAGATCGCTTTGGTTGCTGCTGAGAATCCACTGGTGAGGGGAGGGGGAAGCCAGGAGAGGTGTCCTTCAGGAGGGGAGGGCGGTGGTGGAGGGGAGAGGATGTTCTCAGACTGTGGACTCAGAGGGAAGTGGAAGGGCTCTAGAGAGGCTTAGGAAGTGGACATTTCCAGAAGAATGAAAAAAAACCAAACCCGTTAGTGTGAGTTTGTAACAATCCCAGGCACCGGGGAGGCCTGGGAATATAAACCAAAGAGGCAAGTCATGGACCACAAAAACAAACACACCAGTGGCTTCCCCCCTCCCCTGCCACCCCACCCCAACCCTCCCAGGGAAAACGGGCCCAAGATCAACGACAAAGAGACTGAAAGTGCCAGGCCATTTCTACCTCCGCCAATGGTGCCACAATTGATTTTGGAGCTGGGTACTTGAAACATGGAAATTTATTTCTCATAAGCCCACCAGGAGGGAATGCTGGATTCTCGGGCCAGGAAGTGGCCAAACTGTAGCCTCAGACCTGGTCTCAGGGAGTGGTGGCCACCACAGGGGGTGACCAGGGAGAGGAGAAGGTGGCTCAGTGTTTTTTTCCCAGTGTGCAGCTGGGTCCTTGCCTTTAGCCCACATTGCTCTGCCAGATTCTCCCAACTCCTGGGAGGCAGCAGGACCGCCCTCCCGCCCTCGCCCATGACCTCTTAGGAGGGCTCCCTGTTGAGACCCATTCTCGGAAATGAGGGCCCCCTCATAAGGGCCTGGGAGGTACGCCAGCTGCTTGAACTAACTCACACTCAGGGTAAGAGAATGCTTCAGCTTTTTAGTTCTCCCTGAGAAATTGCCTTTTCAAAAGGGCTCTCTGGGTCACTCAATTAATTTCTGCTCTTTAACTCACCTCTCTGAAAAGGTAATTCCGATTCCGGGAACCCAAGAGGCAAGCGGATTTTGGGAATGATGAGGGCAACAAATGTATAGATGTGCTCGACACAATTGATCTATGTATTGTGATGAATTTTATGAGCCCCAATAAATTGATT